ATTAATAGATTAACTAATTTATGGTAGAGCTATATAATGGAATACCTTAAATGGTCAAGTAGATGGATATTTATTAAGTTTCTGAGAAAATAAGTCCCTCCTGAGCCCCCAAATAACAAGATCAGACTAGAGGTTTGCTTTAACCGTATATTTGGATTCTTTTTCTCTTCTCCACATTTTCTAATTCCATTACCTGTGTTAATAGGGAGCTGGTTGTTTATATTAGGGGCTTGCAACTAGAGTCCATGAGCCTCTTCAAGTGTAAGCAAAATTTCATGCATACGTGTATTTTACTGGGAATGGAGTCAATGGTTTTATCGGAGTCTCAAAACATCCTCTAATCCCCAAATGGGTAAGAACCACTGGCATATCTAGTTTAATGGGTCACGGTGCTGTCTAACTGTGCCTTAAAAAGCAGGTGTGATTGTACAGCCCATTCATTCACTAGTCAACAAATATTTACTTCGTACTTACTAAGTCTTACTTAAATAGCCAAATTACTATAAAACTTTGGAATACATTTCTTTACTTACTTTGGAGGTGTTTTAGTTTGTTTATTTATTTATTTATTTAATTTCAGAGAGAGGAAGGGAGAGAGAAATAGACACATCAGTGATGAGAGAGGATCATCGATCAGCTGCCTCCTGCACGCCCCCTACTGGGCATCGAGCCTGCAACCCAGGCATGTGCCCTGACCATGAATCCAACTGCAATTTCCTGGCTCCTGGCTCGACCACTGAACCACACGGGCTGGGCACCTTGGAGGTATTTTAAACACCACCCTCCCACACATAAAACTTCAAAAAGCCCTCTAGCAACTAAGAGACAAAAAGCAAATTAAAGAGTTTCCAACAAAATTATGTTAACGTCTGAAAAAAGGTGTTTTCTGTTTGTTTTTTTGCAGTCTTTTGAATCTCACATACATTGAACTCCTTTAAGAAGATAACCTTCAGATTTACAGATTGGAAACGACTTATCTTTGTGAGGTCAGCCAAGTTCTCAAAATCGGATAAAGACAAGTAACACAAACAAGTAACTAGTTTTCCTGAAGACAGCGATAAATCATTTTATGTATAACTTTTAAAATATGTTGCATAATTAATTGATGCTATTATTATAAAATATATGATGCTAAATTTGAGGCCCCCAAATTTAAATGATTTATAAAATACCTCATGGTTTGGTGAAGATGTCTAAGACACATAAGAGAAGAAACTGGGCTAACTGGTCACAACAATATCACAGTGATAAATCAGCCACTACAAATAAACTGAAACCAAAGGAAAACATAATTTTGGATTAAATGAGATCATCAAATTTTCAGGAGACAGGAGGTAAGAAGTTATAAGCAAAAAGAACCAAAAAATTAACAGGTTTATTAATGAAGGCATATTGGGCAATATGTTTATGGCTTTCTTTTTTTTTTTTTTTTTATGGAATCCAACTGCTGGCCATTTTTGTTGTTGTTGCTTTTAATCCTCACCCGAGGACATTTTTCCATTGATTTTCAGAGAGAGTGGAAGGGAGGGGGAGAGACAGAGAGAGAAACATCAGTGTGAGAGAGACACACAGATTTGTTGTCTCCCACACACACCCGACCAGGGCTGGAGGTCGAGCCTGCAACTGAGGTGCATGCTCTTAACCAAAATCAAACCCACAACCCTTCGGTCTACAGGCTGATGCTCTGATGCTCTAGCCACTGAGGAAGACCAGCTAGGGCTATAATTTTATTTTCAATATGTGAAAATATTTATCTTTATGAATTTGAATTAACTACTTATGGATTTAGGTTTAAAAAGCATTAAAGATACTACCTGGTTTCTTTTATACTTTAGTAGTCTCAAAACTAACTTAAAATAAAATTCTGTTACAGCAAATTCATTACAATAAATTACAAGGCATAATCTAAGTTAAGGTAGATTTTTACTGAGATGACATTTACATAAAATAAGTAGGTCTTCTGCTGGGCTCAAAAAATACATGTGGTGTTTTTTTTTTTAAGATTGTAATTTTATTTGCTGCAAAGTAATAAAGACCTAAATAGCCGTGGCTCCAGAATTCTCCTAAAACATCAACTTATAGTGTATTTTCCTTTTTCTTCTTTAAACTCCTTAAATCTAGTTACAAATAAACTACTTAATGTAAATTTAATTAAGTCAGAACACATCTTTTGTATTACTAATGACATATACCCAAGAGAAAGTATCTTTCGCTAGACATTTCCTTTACCAGATATTCCCAAATGAATACCATAATAAACATTTAGAGAAGTCATTAGACATGACTAATGGAATTACAAGGAAAAGAAACCTAGCAACCTTTGTAGGTATCATCATGGAAAAGAAAGCAGTACAACAGCAAGTGCAGAAAATACACTGAAATAATACAATGCTCAGGGCTGTAAGAAGTTAAAATAAACTAAGCCTGTTTTTTTTTTCCAAAAGTCAAAACAACAACACACACACACGCCTTCAACATGAAACGAACAGTAGCTTAGCAGAGCACATACACAAGTATGTAAAACGTTATAACTTCTTTATCATATTTAGAAAACAATATAATTTGTTATCAGTTTATGAAGCATTCCACCAAGTATAGGAAATAACTCAGTGCTCAAGTTCAAATTATTTTAACTCTGAAAATGTTGAATACAATGGTAATGATTTTAATATAGCTCTTCAACAAAATACGCCATCTAATCATACTAAATAAGTATGCCATGCCAAACAGTTAACACAAATGCAGATCATTCACTTTTCTGTTCCTAAAAAAGGAAACATTAACTGAAAACAAAAACAGGTTGTTTATTCTAAGATAAATCAATACACAAATGTCATTTAAAAAAAATTACTTTCCCCCCAGCTTTATTGAGATATAATTGACATATAACATTGTGGAAGTTTTAAAGTGTACGTGTACAATGATTTGATGTATTGCAAAATGGTTACCACAATAAGGTTAGTAAACACATCCACCACAGTTACAATTTGCATGTGTGTGTGTGTGTGTGTGTGTGGTGAGGACTTTTAATATCTCTGTTAGCAACTTTAAATTATACAATACATTGTTAACTATAGTCGCTATGCGGCATACTACATCCCCAGAGTTTACAACAGAAGTTTGTACTCTTTAACCACCTTCACTCATTCCCCCACCACCCGCCCCTGGCAACCACCAATCTGCTATTTTTATGAGTTGTTATTTTTATTATTATTATATCTATATTTAAGTGAGATCATGTAATATCTGTCTTTCCCTGTCCGACATTTCATTTAGCATAATCACCTCAAGGTTCAATGTTGACACAAATGGCAGGATTTCCTTATTTTTATGGCTGAATAACACTCCATTATATATAAAGAAAGAATATAAATATCACAATTTCTTTATCAATTCATTAAAGTAACTTTTTTCTTGAGTGTAAAAGTATTTCCTGTTCATTAAACAGGTAATAATGAACAGGAAATGCTAGGAAGTGTGCACACACACATCTGGAATCTCACAATCCAGAAGAAATCTTTTTTTAATGCTTATTCTTTTTTCCAAGCACAATTGTATGTGGTTTTTAAAAAATAATTGGCTTTTTAAAAAAATATTTTTTTATTGATTTCAGAAAGGAAGGGAGAGGGAGAAAGAGATAGAAACATCAATGATGAGAGAGAATCATTGATTGGCTGCCTCCTGCACGCCCCACCCTGAGGATCGAGCCCGAAACCTGGGCATATGGCCTGACTGGGAATCGAACTGTGACTGGTTCATAGGTCTATGTTCAACCACTGAGCCACACCAGCAGGGCTATAATTTGCTTTTTCATTTAGTAATATATTATAAACCTTACCTTAAGTCATTAAATACTTTTCATAACATGATTTGAAACTGCTGAATAGTATTCCATTGTATAGAAATTCCTAAATTTAATTCATTAATCCTGTAATGCTGAACATGAAGTTGTTTTCCAATTTATTGCTATTTTAAATAGCACAATGAGGAATAGCCTTGTATACAAATCTTTGAACACATTTGAGATTCTGTCATCTAAATGGAACTGTTAGGTAAAAGTGTAGGGACATTTTTAAGGCTCTCAATACACAGATCAAACTTCAAAAAAGCACCAATTTACATTTCAACCAATGAGTCATGAACTGTCAGTTTCCCTCATATTCCTAAGCAACAATGTTTTTATTTTTTCGATGCTGTTAGTCTGCCTGGCCAGTAGCTCAGTGGTTGAGCATCAACTTATGAAAGAGGAGGTCACGGTTCAATTTCTTGTCAGGGCACATGCCCGGGTTGCAGGCTTGATCCCCAACTGGGGTGTGCAGGAGGCAGTCGATCAGTGATTCTCTCTCATCATTGATGTTTCTCTCTCTCCCCCCCTCTCCCTTCCTCTCTGAAATCAATAAAATATATATTTTTAAAAATACTTTTCTGCCCCAGCTGGTTTGGCTCAGTGGATAGCGCATCGGCCTATGGACCAGAGGATCCCAGGTTCAATTCTGGTGAAGGGAGGCGCTTCGGCTGCAGGCTCCTCCCTGGTCGGGGCACGCGCAGGAGGCAACCAATTGATGTGTTTCTCTTACATTGATATTTCTCTCTGTCTTTCCCTCTCTCTTCCAACTCTCTCTAAAAATCAATGGAAAAATATCCTCAGGTGAGAATAAAAAACAATTTTTCCCCCTAATTTTGTCATTTACCTTTGGTTTCTGGCATTATGAGTATAAAGAAGTTTTTAAGATGTATGCATATTGTATATGAATATGTATATTTCAAAATATTCTTTTATGAGTTGTTCCATAAAAGCCACTGTTTTAAGTTTGTCCTGTTCAAATGTACCAATTAACTGGAATATAATGCTAAGTTTTGTTCAAACTAGACTTCACATTTGGGTAATAAAAATTCAAAATCCATAAATTCGGACGATGTCACATTTCTAGGACAAAATTTAAAATGCGTGCTTAAGGTAATAAGCTATCTTACTTAAGGACCCATCCCTTTAAACTTACGTGCTTTGCTCTGGTGTTGCAAAATCAAGGGTTCATGCTTCAGCACCAGCTCAGCATGTTGACTGCAGCCATGTCATTCAGGAAGCCAAATGTTTTCCATTTTGTTTTAGTACCGTCAACAGTTAAAGAGGAAGGCCAATCTCTATTCACATCACAATGAATTTAGCATTTTCGCTTGCTATTTAAACTCATTACAAGATAAACTTATCTTAGGATAAGCTTCAGGGTTTCCATTTATCACTACATAACTGAAACAATAACAACATAAAAAGAAGGAATATTTGCATTGCATCTCCATATATGAGACCTCCCATACCTTTTGGAATGAGGCTCTACAATGTCCAATTCTCACTATAATTCTCCCTCATTTTCTACCAGAAACAGATCACAAATCCTAAAAACATCAACCCACCGGGTAAACTGACGGTTACATTTTGTCAAGAGCTGCATATTTCTGTAAATCTCCAGTTTGCTACTTTGCTCAAGTCTCAAAGATGACCAAGAGATTTTTAGAAACAGGAAACAAAAAAAATAGAATTAGCATTATTTCTGAGAGGTAATTTTACCTAAACGATGGATGACTATATTTTGAAGAATGCTCTATGATAAAGCTGGAAAATTCCAATTTTTAGTACCTCAACAGATTTAGTGCTAAGCAGTTTCTTTTTATAAATACTACAATGACATCTGTGAAGCTTGCTTAGTTAAGACATGTCCCCCAGGTTGGATTTTCAAATCCCATTCTTTACAAAAACAGTAGCGATTTGCCACCAGCTACAGGCTCTGAATGTTAGACAACATAAAATAGTTTTTCATAAACTTTCTAATTTACTCCCACCTAAAGGCTGGAAAACCCCACTGAAGGCTTCTTAGACTCAACAGACATGTTAAAAAGCGTTAATTGTAGGATCTCACTGACACAAACATAAGGAAATTCTGAGTTATAGATACTTCACATGAAGCTTTTTCCACTGACACTGTAACTTTTGTCAACATTCAAAGAAAATTCAACCCTGGTCAAAGGTGACAGTTTGACAATCCTGGAAGCTAACATCCTCTGTTTATTTGAACTAGTTTATACTCTCTGCTCAGGGAATTAAAGTTTTTTCTCACCCCCCCCCCCACTTGATCTTTCAAATTCAAATCACTACACTTAGGAATGAGGCTCTACAATGCACAATGTAGAGTCTTGTGAATTATATCTTCAAGATTTAACTTCACAATCCACCTCCAAGGGAAAGTGCTCAGAGGAAATAAGCATCAGATATGAAAAGGAATATGTTTCTTAGACTGGTTTCTAATGACCATTTGCCTAGCCCTAAACACACAGTAATTTGTTCAGCTATCTTTACCCCCACCCCCAAATTAAAATTCTTAAGTCCTTCTATCTCAGAAATCACAATTAGTGGCTTTAATAAAACAAGAATGGGGCCATAAATCCCTTCAAAATAAAGCTGTAAAGAAAATGAGCTGGATACTTGAGTCCTCAGCCAACAAACACTTGTGTCACTTGCCACATTGGCACAAGAGTTCCTTTTGTTTGTAAATAAAGGCCAAGAAGACAGCTTATAGCACTTCTCCTATGGTGTATATGGTAATGCCCGTGAAAGAACAACACAGGACAACTTACAGTTAAAAACTAAGACTCTCTCTGCTTTAATGTAATTTCCACCAGAAATATATACATTAGTTGGGAAAAATGCTTATCATGTTCATAACTTCAAAAAATCCCAATTATATTAAATGTTTTTCTATGTAAAAAAAAAAAAAAGAGTCCATTTTGGAACACAAATAAAAATATATGAGCCTTAAAGAAGCCACTGTCTCGCTGCACAGTTGCAGCTGCCCACACTCCTTTGCAGGACAAGGGTTAGGAATGCGCCTCTGAAATCAAAGTGGCCTGGATCTGGATCCAGCGCCGTCATTACTAGCAATGTGACCTTGGGCAAGTTACTTAACTTCTCTGTGGCCATTTCTTCATCTTTTGACTGAGGATAATACCCCCCACCCCACCCCCCGCCGCCAGAGGATCATGAGTGAAAACATGGCAAGAGCTATAACACTGTCTGCTTGGCACCGGAAATGGACAGTGTTAGCTATTATTTTTTCTTATTTTTGTACTTTTAGGCTTTGGACATAATCTGAGTTACTTTTTAATAAATTTTCTGGTCGATTTTTGAAAGATGGCATAATAATGAGAATATCTTCCCAGAGGAGCCCATAGTAAGCAGAGCTATAGCCTAGAGTCGTAAATCATCACTTTTAGTACAAATCATGGATGTGGCTGTTACTGGTAACTTCAGCTTGATTTCCCATATGCCAAAAAAACCCCCTACGAGCGGAAAACAAGCAGTATTAGAAAACCCTTGGGTTTGTCCTGTTAGCATTACAGAGTAAAGCCAAACTCACTTTTACTAGCCTGATGGGCACTGAAAATCTTAGTCACCAAATTAATCCCAACAAATAACAACAACTGATTGGCTCATTGATGTATTTCCCCTTGTCTTCCCCAACCTTTCTCTAACGAGTCAGAAAGGAAAGTTTTTATATTTTCTGAGAATCTTATTACTGCTCTCAAACCATCCTCTGTATCTTAGTATAATTAAAAAATGAGTCAGCACAAGCACTTCAAATACCTCACAGTGCATAGAATATGGAGATATTTCTCTCTTCATAATAGAAATCTGGGAAAATAAAAAGAGTTAGTCAGAGTGTCAAAGGCAAGGGAAGACTAAATGGACAGTGAGTGTCGGACCAGATTTTGCAAGCTAGCTTCCAGAAGATAAATAAATGTTCTTTATCAATCAATATATGTATTTTTCATCTTAATGGTATTATAATACATGGGAATGGATGTAACTATTATGAATAAACTCAAAGAATATCCAGTAGATGACAAATTATAACTTCTCCTTTCTTGAGTAATGGAGGGGGGTGAGGGAGGTTATGATACTCTATATGTATTAACCATTGTGCATTTGCAAATCGCATAATGCATCACTGCACAACATGCTACTGCCTTTAGCAACGTGATCCAAAAGAAAATGTAGGATAAGCGCCCCTAAATGTAGGATAAGGCAAACATACTTGAATGCCAATTAAATTAAGAGTCTATTTAGTCATGACACTTCTTAGAATCAAGTCAGCTGAAGGAAGGCCCAGAAAAGACCATCTGCTTCAATGTCTGAAACATTATCACATACTCCTTTCAAGAACGTACTTCTCAAGGCTCCATGTAACTCACACCCCAACATACATATAAACAGTAACCTACCACATGAAAATTACTGGGGAGGGTCAAGGGAGAGTTTACGGCTCAGGGTGACGATTCCTCCAAAGTTCTACTACCATCCCCTAAATGTTTCCTTGCTCTTATTTGACTCCTCCATGACATTCTGTATGGCTTTCAAATGAAGCAGGAAAAAACTGCCATATTCACTGTTTAATACATGGGGCTCTATATTGTATAAAGCAGGGGCAACCTTTCTTGGGAGAGAGAGAGAGAGAGAGAGAGAGAGAAACATCAATGATGAGAATCATTGATCGGCTGCCTCCTGCATGCCCCACACTGGGGATCGAGCCCGAAACCTGGCCATGTGCCCTGACCGGGCATTGAACCGTGACCTCCTGGTTCATGGGTCGATGCTCAACCACTGAGCCACAGCGGCCGGGCTGGGCAGCCCTTCTTTAAAAGCTGACATCCAAGGCTCCACAGAACACGATTCAGCCCCATCTAGTGCTGTGCAGTTTCTAGGTACCTGGGAGGAAACAGATGGCTACTGCCTCCCGCCCCCGCCCCCCCCCCCACTTTTTTTAAATTGCGTATTTGTTGTTTTTAAAGATTTCTTCCAAGGCTGCTAAATCTTGAAGAGAGCTGGGGCAAGTTTCAGGAATGTCTTGCCTTCCCAATTGGGTATTCGGGCTGAACTGTCATGAAGCAGCGCAACAGGTCAAAGACAAACCACATGGCATCTGATGCTTGTCTTTGTTTAAAATTGAAATGTGACACCAAAGAAGGTTACTATGTGGACCTAATTTTGAAAATACAAACAGGAAGCACCCCCACCCCAATATTACCATAAAAAAAAGGAAACCAAACCTCAAAGCTACCTTCCAAGGAAGTCATGGGTGTGACCAAAACTAACAAAAGTAATAAAACGTCATCTAAAACCCTGAAACCACCAAAAGTGAGGGTCTCATTCAACCAACTAAAAATCTAACACCTGAAATTACTTCTCTCTTTGATTAGTGAAACTAGCACAGATCTAGGTGTGTAAAATCTTCTCCAAACTGGCTTAGGTTTTTCAATAGTAAAGAATCATCATTAATAATTTTTTAAAATCCAATGTCAATACTCTACTTAAAATAAGGACATGCTAATTAAGAATGAATACAATTTTAAAAACTTTTTACCACTGTGATGCTCACAATTTAAATGTACCAAACAAAACCTGTCGAATCAATGGAAAGTAGATTGTTAAATCTGACTTCCTATTCCCAGAAAGAAGCATAAAACTTGTGTTTCTCTAACACTGCAGGGGGAAAAAACACTTCTTATTTTAGAACAGTTCTATTAACACAGCTCAGATTTAAAGGAAAGTTTTTTTTTTCCTTTAAACACCACACAAAATTGGGGACAGTGATAGTCTCGAACTAACGTCTAAACATTATTTTTATTAAGAAGTTCCCGAGTCAAACTATTTTGATACTTTATTATCTAGTAAAAGGATATTTTCCTGGAGTTATCGGATAACTTTTTAAAAGAATGCGTTTCAAATGCTCAAAACCCATGAATGAAAATGGGAATAATGTGGTAATCTATATTCTAATAGAAAGGAAAAATGTGTCACTGGTCATGAGAACATTCAGAAATCCGTGAGTACTTTATGAATACGTACATGTTTGTAGGGCACTAGAATAGTGAAGCTTTTTTTTTAATTCTACCTGCAACCTGCAACCGAATCTTGAGCATATCATTTACCTACTTATAACATCTTCCTTTTATAAAGACTACCTACGTTACCTACCGACACAAAAACAAGTCAAAGGAACCGCCACAAGGACACTCATAAATATAAACCTAACACAAGTCACAAATAACTTGAATGTAACTTGAAAGAATTTTAACATAACTTCAAAAACTGACATAAATACCAAAAGCGCAATAAATGACACCTTGATGTGTTTTTTGGACATACAAACATTTTTAAAAATCAATTGAGAGCAAGGAAATGAAGATGAAATGAGAAGTTGGGCCACAATAGGAAGTGCTGACCAAAATATTTGTGTTGTAACACTCCAAACAATGATAGCACTGTTTTCCCCTCCCATCACATGTATCATGAAGTACCCATCTAAGAAACACATCCACCTTCAATTTCTTAACACAAAACCCATATTAATATCCTGTTGACAAAAATATGAATACTGAAAAGGCAAGGCCTGGTGAGAAGGTGGAATAACTTATGTAGCTGGGTATACAGCAATGATTTTGTGCAGAGTTTAGCTCCAAGTTATGCAATAACCAAACTGCTGGTGATAGAAATCAACTTTTTTTTTTCTTCTTTCTGATGTTTTGTGTTTTTAAAGAAAGATCTCTTCATTCCTTCCTTTATGTCTCAACCAGGTGCTCAAAATGTTCATCTTCCAAAGGCCACAGAAAACAAGTACTCTGCTAGGTAACACTTACCTGACCAAAAGTGTGGTACTCTTTTAATTCAACAGGACAGACGTCACAAATGGTCACACAGGACATTTTTTCTGCGAATCGGCAGCCCTTTTCCCATTTATGCTATCAATTCTAACAGCTGTACTCTTCCATGAGATGGAAATTGGTACCAAAACAAACAAAAACACCGACGCCTTAAAAGAAACCTTCAAATGTGGAATCCATCGGAAATGCTCAGAACCCACCCAATGTTCAGAGTGTTACAAAATAAAATCAGAAAACACGAAAGGCACACTAAATACAATATATCGTCTTCTAAAAACGATGAAAAGCACACTAAATAAAATATATCCTTTTCCAATGACTATAAACAAAGGCACAAGAACGGAAGAACCGCGTAGAAAGAGGCGAAGTTCTATTATCTCCATTGAACGACAACGAAATTATTTGAGGTAATATTCTCAACAGCTGAAAGCTTATTATGGCCCAGGCGGCTCTCCAACCACTTTGGAAACCTAAGATACAAGCAGACGATAAACACCATTTGAAGACTGGAAAAAAAAAAATGACATAAGATCAGTTTAATAATTTGATGACACACTAGTCCTTTCAAAGGGCACTCATTCCCCCAAAGCACTCCCGAGACAACTTATGAAATTCTCCGCAGGCCAAGATCGACTCCTTCGCTGTGCTTTGGGACCAGCACTGATCTGCGAGCTCTCCGGCCGACATTTCAGTCCCCGCACGACCTCCCAGCTGTGCGACCTGTGCAGGCCACGCACTCCACCTGCCTGGGCCTCAGTTTCCCCATCCGCACCATCCAAGAACGTGGTGGCATCACCGCCAGGGCCCTCTCCACCTCTGGCCTCCTGTCGCCCGCTCTGAGCTCTGAGCACGGCTTGTTTATTTCAGCTGTGACAGCATGACAGGGGACCAGAAGGAAAAGCACCTGGCGAGGCTCTAGGGAAAGAGAGGACCGCTCTCTCTTTTCGCCTTTAAAATTCTGGTGGTTCTCACTCATCTCAGCTTCCTGAGAGCTGGCACCTGTTTGTCTCCCGGGCCATTTCCATCACTGCTGGCTACAAGTGTCTGCAATCGCCTCTTGCTCCACACACGTTCCTTCCTGACCATCTTGCCAGATTCCTCCAGCGTCAGACCAGCTTTGGGGACACACGCTCCCCCTTCCTTCGAGTCTCTATCTGCCCCAGACCCCAGGTGCACTTTTTTTTTTTTTTTTTTTTTTTACTCTTTAGCCTGAGCTAGGAAAAAAAAAAAAAGAAGAACGCGCTGCATCCCCCTGCCTCACGCATGCACGAGCCGGGGCCTGGCGGGTGCATATGTGGGATCCCGCACCCAGAGCCTCATCGACACGTTCGTATTCGCTGCCTCGACTCCTTATAAGGCTCTGCTCCCTGGCGCTCCGCTGACCCCCCTGCCCCCGGGCACCTCGGGCTCGCCCACCCCCCCGCCGCAGACCCCGCTTTTGAAAGGAGGAACGGCAGGGGACGGCGGGGCTATTCGGAACTGCACCGTGGAAGTGTGAGTGGCCCCTCGGCTCCCAGGGCTGGACGCCGGGGGCCCTCGCGCCCCCTCCCTGGAAACGGGCGCACACGCCGCCTCGGCTCTGCACCTTCCGCCCGCCGAGGCCCCCGCGCGACGCCCCCTGCACGCCCGCCCCGCCCGCGCCCCCGCCGCCCCGCGCGGCCACCGCGGCCGCCTCCCTGCCCGGGAGCGATGGCGGCGCTCGGCCCTGCCCGGGAGGACTCGCCGGTCTGGCCCCCGCGCCCAGCCGGGCCCTCCGCTCCTACCTCGCCCAGCCCCTCGGGCGCCAGCAGCTGCCTTCCGCCCGCCTCTCGCTCGCTCCCTCCCGCCTCCGGGCCGCCGCGCGGAGTCGCCTGCGCAGGGTCCCCGCCTGGGTGACGGCTCCGGCCGCCGACTCTCCCAGCGCCCGGGCCCACGGGGGCGCGCGCGCCGCTCGCTCGCGGAGATCGGCCGCGCGCGCCGCCCGCCACCCGGAGCGCGCCCCGCGCCGCGCGCGCCGCTTCCTGGTTCCGCCTGGAGCGCGCTCGCGAGCCCGCCGTCCCTCTGACCCCCCTCCGCGGCCGCCCAGGAGGACCGGATACCCTCCGCACCCCCGGGGTGGCTGCACGCTCCGGGGGGGGGCGGGGGCGGGGCGCCACGCGCAGCCCCTCGTGGCCCAGGTGGTGTGGCTTCCCCACGCGGGTCCCCAGCCAGATCCCACGAGCAAGGAGCACATGCTGCTTTGCTCGGTGTGGACCACCACTCGCGGGGCTCGGGGCGGACTCTGTGGTCGTGCGGATTGCGCCCCCCCCCCCACCCATACCCTCCGCAGCCCTCCCACCTCCCTTCCCTGGGCTCGCATTCTGGGTCCTGTCCCTCCCAAGCCGAGGTCAGAAGTCCGCCACTGGCCCATCAATAATTATCCCGGGTTTGCTCCCAGGAGGGCGTTTCAGCCAGGGCTCCTGCTGCTTACCACCCAGACGGGGGAGAGCCTGGAAGGACACAGTTTACATTCACCCTGGCCAACTGGGTCCGTCCACTGTTCCAGAGTGTATCTATGGGGGACTTGGGCGGCTGAGACCATTTCGCTCCCTGGGGAATACTGCTAGCAGTCAGAGCTGCAGGAGGGGCTGACTGCTCTACCCAAAAAAGAAATAATAAGCAGGATCACTGCTGTAGGAGCAAGAGGTCTCTGAGACCCTTTTCCACGTAGTGGGGAGGGGGTGCGGTGTCTGAGAAGGCAGCCTGAGTCACCCGCTCTCCTCTCTTCTGGGTACATCTCCGGAGCTGGCCCGCGGTTTCCCTGGCAACCCTCCAAGGGCCAGCACCAAAGCAAGGCATGTCAGGTCTCCAGAGCCCCAGCTGCAGGGGCAGAAGATGGGAAGGACCCCACACATACACACAGAGATCCCTTCCCGACAGTCAGAAAATCTACATGTCCAGGGATGACCAAGATCGGCAAGGCCTCAAGTTCTCCCATAATCCTCCTTCGGCAGCTCTTCCCAGCAGCCTCCTCTTCACCCCCAGAATAACACCAGCCACAAAGATCCTTGTGTCTGCAGCTGATCACAAAGTCCTTCTCCCTGACCCAGGCTCCTGCTTCTATCCCACACTCTGGGCCAACACCTGGCACAGAGTAGGTACAGGGAGCTTGGAGGCTGGAGCAGGAGGACAGGCCTAACTAAGCAGGAAGCTGGACAGAAGCGCCAGCCCTGAACTCCCTGGCAACCCCTCTGACAGTCACCGTCCATGATGTTTCGACACCAGGGCACACCACATTTCTCTTTCTTACCTGCACACATTCTGTTCCCTCTGCCTGGAATGCCCTCCTGCCCTCTTGATGTCTGCCCCTCGGTGACACCTGTTCCAGGCAGCACAAACCTCGCCCTTCCTGTTCCCCACCACACGTTCATGCCTCTATTATGGCACCTCTGGTGTTAAAGGACAATTTGTTTATGCGTTTCTCTACCCACAAAGGGCAGACACAGTATCCCATTCCCCTTAAAATCCCCACCCAGTGCCCAGCCCAGAGCAGACATCCGCTAAATATTTGAGGACCCAACTCTTTGCACTAGGGAAAGAAATGGAAAACCAGGAGGACTGTGTAGTAGTTAATAGCACAGACTTTAAAACCAGGCTCACTGTCAACTCCTTCAGCCATGTGACCTTAAGTTTTCTGCCTCAATTTCCTCACTGTAACACGGTTATAGTCATAGGACCTACCTTGCTGCATTCTGGTGAGAAATGAGTTAATACATATGAAGTGCTTCCAATGCTGTAAGGCACTACAGAGATGTTAACTATTAGAACTGATTTTAGCAGCAGCTAACATTTGCATCCCTCTTCCTAGGACTGGTCCGTCCAGCTGCCTCAGCTGCCATGCCTCAGGGTGCTAGTTTGAATGCCGTGGAGGGTGGGCAGGGAAGGTTCTTTATTGCTCCTCTTCTAGCACATCTCTGACTGACCACTAGGTACCAAGCTAGAGCTGGCTGGCTGTGTACACAGACACAAAGAACAGAATGTTCTGGGTTGCTCCCTCAGCAAAACAAGAATGTTGTCAACTTGAGAAAGGAAGGAAGGTCCAATACCTACCTCTAACTACTTGCCAATTCAGATGAAGTGAGACCCTCTTCCCCTGGGCCTCGGGGATATAATCCCCTACGTTTAGGGGACACCAGACTGAGACATAACACATAAGGAGTGCTAGAAAGAAAGAAATTGAACAGGAAGCTAGGATCCAGAAAGACCCAGCAGAGAGCCCACACAGAAAGGTCCTGGAGGCATACCGGCACATGCAGAAATGTCCACAGGACAGTGTTGATGTCATCTCCTCGCCCACGCAAGCCTGGCCCAGGAGAGAAAGAGGCTTGAGGGAGAGCCTGGAAGTCTGGTGGGCAGCCTTGTCTATAACTCTGATTTATTTGTTTTTTAACACTGTCCTTTTTAAAAATATATATTTTTATTGATTTCAGAGAGGAAGGGAGAGGGAGAGAAAGATAGAAACATCAATGATGAGAGAGAATCACTGACCGGCTGTCTCCTGCACGCCCACCACTGGGGACTAAGCCAGCAACCCGGGAATGTGCCCTTGGCCAGAATCGAACCCAGGACCCTTCAGTCCACAGGCCGACGCTCTATCCACTGGGCCAAACCGCCTAGGGCAGTGGTCGGCAAACTCATTAGTCAACAGAGCCAAATATCAACAGTACAACGATTGAAATTTCTTTTGAGAGCCACATTTTTTAAAACTTAAACTATATAGATAGGTACATTGTTATTAACTTAATTAGGGTACTCCTAAGGCTTAGGAAGAGCCACACTCAAGGGGCCAAAGAGCCGCATGTGGCTCGCGAGCCGCAGTTTGCCGACCACGGACCTAGGTAACTCTGATTTATTCTTAACCAGGCGCTGACTCCCTCCCTTGTTTTCATGGACCATCATGTGGCTGCCACAGAGAACAGATGCCACACTTCACATTCTCCCCCAGCCCTGCCTGCCCACAGGGAGAGCAGGCGGCCATTTTCTGGAAATGTAACTGAAACCACAGCCATGATCCTCTCTAGCCAGAGACCCACACTCATCTAGCTCCCCTCTCCCGGCCTCTCTGGACCCCTGGAATCAGGTGGGCACTGGGGAACCACTGGCCACACAGTAGCCAAGGAAGGACACCTAGGAACTTCTCTTGTTTCTTCCCTATTAAATTAGCACACGCCCCAGGAGCTACAGGAGAAGGCATCGGAGACTCAACACTCAACGGACCGGGGAGGCAGAGAGCCCGGATCTCCGGGGCCTCAGACTGGAGGTTTGTCGCCACCAGTGGTTCAGAAGGCGTTCCACTGGTGCCTGGGCGTATTGCTACCAGGAGTTTGGGTGGTGAAAATAGCTGAATTTTACAGTTAGATCTGGTTCCAAACCCCAGCTCTGCCAACTTACCAGCTGTGTGACCTCAGTCAGAGCATTTCACTCCTCTGAGTGCCTCAGTTTCCCTCATGTGTAAGTCATAGGCGCTAAAGTCTCGATATATTTGTAAATGCCTAAAATCTTTCTGGGTGTACATGCCAGACCCTAGTACCTGTGGTTGCCCCTGTAGAGGAGGGCCTGGGGGACAGGAAAAGAGACTAACTTTTCACCATATATCCTTTTACTCTTGAATTTTGTACCATATGCTATACTATCTATTAAAACATTAGGAAAAATGAACTTTTTTTTTTTTAAGTAGAGTGATTAGGAAAGTATCTAAGCATCATGTATGGCTTGCAGAAGGTACTTGATAAAGGAACCTTTTTTTTTTCTTTTTAACCTCAGCCCAACCCCAGCCAGTTTGCAGGGCCAGGAGGGAGTGGACATGAGGGTGGAGTTGGGGGATGGGATGTGAGTGACAGATGTGCAGGTCCTTGCCACCTGGAGACTCTCACACGCTGCTCTCCCTCTCGTCCCTGTATGCTTCACCTCTCTGGGCTCCCTTCCAGCCAGAGCTAAGGAGGTGGGTCTCTGGAAAGCCCCAGCCACCCCCCACCTCCTGGGACAGGGTCACTGTGCCCTCTCCTCCTAGAGTCCTGGGGCGATGCTGCATTTTGCAGGGAAGGCAGGGTTGACACAGAGGAGGCAGCAGAGTATAGTATCACCCCAGCCACTATCTTGCTGGCTTGCCTGGCGGTTTAGGAACTCAAAAGTCAGCTCAGCACCAGGCAAAGATGAGGCTTCTGTTGCTGCTGCCATGGGCAGAAAGCAGGCCAGTGGGACTAGAGCAGGCAGAGGTCAGGGCGGCAGAGGAGAGAACCTTCTCGGTGCTGTGGATCAGGGTGTATGAGGGGGAGACTGAGGCCTACACTAGCGCAAGGGAAGCTCTGAGCTGTCAGAGCTTGAGGTAGCCCTGTGCTGTTTTAGGGATCTTCATTAATCCAACACATATTTATGAAACCCCCTATTCTGCATCAAGCAATAGGACACCACCCTTTAGGCTACCAGTTAGAGCCGTACAAAGAGACCTGCAATACAGGTAGCATTGAGAGGCCACAGGATTGCAGGGGAGAACATGCCTAGCTCTACTGGCCAAGGTCTCTGAGCACCTATGACGTGTTAGGTAGGCACTGGAGTGAGTCGGCACAGCAATCTCAGGACTGGGTTGGTCTTGCTTGTCCTCCTTTTACAAAGGAGCTTGCTGACCTCAGAGAGGCGGACGTATGTGCCCGGAGTCACACATCAGAGCCAGGATTTGCACCAGCGCCTTTGTGTTTTTCTCTATGCCGCACTGACCCTATGAAAGGTAAGGAGGTGGTGACCAGGTGGCCAAGGGAGGAATGGCATTCCAGGTAGGTGGGATGGAGGGGGTAAAGGTTTGGAGTTGAGAGACGCCAGTGCATTGGGGGACCTGCATGGCTGAAGCCCAGAGTGACGGGAAGGCCCGTGCTTGGGGGTGATCACAGCAGCCAGTGAAGACCAGGGCAGGAGCCAGTGAGGAGGGGATGGGACACTGGCCCGTTCTGCATGTAGCCTTCACATTCCCCACTTGCTCCTGGGGCTGGGGAGCCTATTTTTGAGGCTTGGAGAGGGCAGGGAAGACGTGGGTGGGTTTGTGCAGTAAGAAACTAGGGAACGATGAAAAACAGAGATGGGGGAAAAGGAATCCCCTCCAGGCATAACAAAGGAAAGTGGCAAAGTGGTGGGGGATGGCGGGGAAGGAGGCACAAGGCTCTCCCACACAAACCCCAGAGGGCTTGAGGTCGGATACTGGGCTGGCGGAGCCACAAAAGCTTTCCTGTTAGGCTGGAAGGAGGAGAAACTAGCTCAGCAGGAAGAGGGGACTGGTAGTCATTGTGCATGAGGATGGGAGTAAGATCAGACGCAGGCCTGCTCAGGACAGCGACCAGTCCCGCTCAGCTGCCCAGCTCTGTGCCCATGACCCACCGCTCCTCTCTCGCCTGCTGAGGGTGGGCCCCTCCCTGCCCTCCTGACTGGTCAGATGCTGCACACTGCCCCCGACCCCACCCCAGGTCCTGCCAGCATCTCTCCGAAGGCAGGTGGTCAGGGCTGCTGGGCCAAGGAAGGAGCATTTCCCCTCCCACCCACTCTGTCAGTCCCATACCCCTCCTCTCACTCTGTTCCCAGAAACAGAGGACAGTCGCTACGCCTCGGGGCAGGATGGCCTTGTGTTCCCTTGGTGACTTCACTGTAAACTGACTTCCATGAAGAGTGGTAGAGGAAAGCGGACAGGGGTAGGAAGGGAGAACAGGCTTCACCCAGGACCCAGCAGCTCCTTCCCCTGTCCCAAATTCACACAAAATTCCTCACCATGTGCACACACACACCCGCCCTTGGTCCTGCCCTGTCTTAATGAACCAGAATGGGGGCAGATTTCTGCAGGGAGGTGCCAGGGTGAGGAGACTCAGAGAGAGGCAGGGGCATTGATCTTGGGGGTATCAGTATACGCTGAGGATGGGCCTGTGGCTGCCTTCCAGTCACCTTGGGGATGGGAGCTGGAGTGGAGGGGGACAATGCCGGGGAGGCAAAGTGGGGGTGAAACAGGACGTTTAGGAGCCCAAGGGCTTCAGCTCACCCCTCTCTGCTGAACACAGAGATCCTCCCTGGACCACCTCCAGCTTGCTTGGGAAGGCTCTTCACCTCCACCCCACCTCCCCTCTGGCTCTTGCACAAAAGGAACTCTCCTTGAAGAAGAGACTTGCAGCAGAGGAAACAATGGCATCTCTGTACCATGCCCTCCGCCCCCTGCCAGGGATGGTTAGGTCAAGGTGACCTCTATCTGTTCTTCCCCGGGTAGGGGCATCAGCGGGGCCTTCTCTGCTAACCTGGTCTCCAAGGACAGGGCAGCAATGGGTCCTGGGAAAATTCTTTCCTTCCTTCAGAAACTCACGCCAACATAGTCATCTGCCTCATTCCACAGAGCAGGGCCCGGATTGACGTGGAGATGGGCATGCCACATGAAGCCCCCCGGAACAATGACGGGCTACCCAGTCACAGGGGACATCTTCACTCTGTGGGTATGTGCTGGCGTTGGGAGAAGTCAAGAAAGGCTCTACCGTCGAGACCCTTCCCACAGGGCCAGGCAACTTGGATCCTGGAGCCAGCTCTGCATTCCCTGGCCAGACAGCTGTGGACAGGCCTTTTCCTGAACTACTCAAAGGGGATGATTCTGGCTGTGCCTACCTCCAAGGTTATTGCAAGGATGAGTTGAGTTGAAGTGTGCAAACATGTTTGCACACAACTGTACCGTGATTCATTCCAGGATGTGTGCATACTGTGCTAACTACAGACTAGGCCAGGAATCATTATTCTTCCTAATAAAATATGGTCAGTCTTCTTTGAAGGAACGTATTCCCGTAAGATGTTTCTTTAATTATATTATTTTTATATGTAACATATATTTTAATCCTCCCTCACTCCCCCATGTAATGGTGTGACTTGGAATTGGGGATGAGGGGCAGTTAGGGGAGGCCATCCTGGGACCCCAGCTCAGTCCGCACCCTAGGCCGTCTCTGATCTTCCTGAACCCCCTCCCCTAGGCCTCAGTTTTTCTCCTCTATAGTCTGGGCCTCTAAAACCACCAGCGTGCTTTGTGGTAAGAAATAGCAGAGACCAAACCAGGGGACTGAAAGCAAAAAGAAACCCCAAATTTGACATTTCTGGGTGTTATCCGGGGCCATGACCACAGTCACCTCTGCCCCCAACCCAACTCTGACACCCTTCCCTCTTCTACTCCCCTGGGTGGCCTTTGCCCATCCTGGGAAAGCTCCAAAGCTCCTCCCCTTCCCCCTGCATCTCTAAGGGAGAACAGAGGCACAAAGAAATGAGAGAAACCCAGACAGAGTCACCCGGGGAACGAGCGAGACCTAGAGAGAGAGAATCAACAGGAGAAGAATGAAAAAGCAGAGCCTCACAGTCGGGGAGAGCCAGAACGCACCACGGGACACGGAGTGGGGAGGGGCACAGGAGGGCTCTGAGGGCACTGGGCATGTCCTTTTAGGCTAGCCCCTCCAGTTCTGTTCACTGGCACCTCAATGCTACCACTTTAGGACCCAGGACTGCCCAACCCCTAACCAAGCCCAGCCCAGCCCAGCCAGATGTTCTGTGGGTGGGTGGGGCCGCCAGCTAGAGCAACAGGCCCCTGTAGGCCCTGGGGAGGAGGCTGGAGAGGTGGCTGCCTGGAAGTGGGCAGGCGGGGCTCCCACTCTGGAGCCAGCACCCCCATACCATCCTCTCCAGATGCCCAGATGTGGGTACATTGCAACGGTGGTCCTCAGCCCCCCCTGGTATGACTCAGAGGACTTGGAAATCCAGGAGTCTGCTCCCACCCACTGACTTGCCCACCTGCTCAGAGTGAGAGCCTGGAGGGCATAGGTGCCAAGTGGGGCCCACCCTCCCTGTGGCAATGGGTTTGGATCTGCCACTGACAGGCTGCGTGACACTGGCCAAGTCACTTCCCCTCTCCAGCCTCTGTTTCCCCATTTGTCAAATCATCTTTACGGTTGTTTCCAGCTCTGGCATTTGACTCTCATTGCAGGTGCCCGCCCGCCCCCCGGCTCTGTGTATCTGAGCCTCCTCGGCCAAAGGCACTGCACAGAGTCCGGGAAGAAGGGAGGGGGAGGCCCGTGCTTCCTCCTCCCCGGGCTCCCCGGGTGGAGCATCTAAAGAGCAAGGTTCCCTCAGTCCTCTGTGAACCCCCTTACAGTTTTCAATTCCTTTCCTCATGGGCGTGCCAGCTAAGACTGCGACCACACATGGAAGTGTGTGTATGGGTCCCGGACATTCCAGCTTCTGCAGCTTTTAACTTGGGGTTTTCTCTGAAGTAAAACGGATGAGAGAGGGGAGGTGGGGAGGAGCACGAAGGTGGGAAAGTGGAAGGGGGAAGAGAATGGAGATAGAAGGGCAGGCCTACCAAGGCCTGAGGGAGGGGTGGTGGGAGAGAATGATCCCCAGAAGTCTTGGCTCGGCTGGGCCCTGAGAGGGCAGCCAGCCTGGCCCCTACCTTCGTGCTGCCAATACCAGCTGCCAGGCAGAAGGAGGCCTAGAGGAGAGGGAAACTGGGCAAAGGGGATGGAAGGCTTCCAGGCCAGCCTTGCCCAACTCGTCAGGCCCCTTTGGGGGCTCTCAGGGAGGGGCTGTGACCCAGGCAAGGCCTAGGAAGGGTGTTCCCTGCTCTGGCAAGGCCTATGGGCAGTCGTGAGCTTTGAGGATTCAAGAGGGCCCCCTCTGGACCTTTCTGAAGGTAGGACCAGCCTCGGATTTGACTGGGCCCGGGTGAGGGGAGGGGCAGGGTCATTTACGGCCCAGAGCTTGCCAACTAGGCCATGTGCCCACTGTGACTCGCTGGGCAAGCCCCTTCCCCTCTCTGGACTTCCATTTCTTGTCTGCACCATCTGGGGGGGGGGGGGAGAGGGGGGTCCATACATGACTGCCAGGGTTCTTTTTCAACTGCAGACGGCGAGAGCGCGGCAGTGGGAGTAGTGGAAGGAGGGGAGGTGGGGCGGCATGAGCTGGCTTCTCTGGAATCCCCAGTCTTTCCCCTCCCCAGGGCTTTGCCTCTGAAGTCCCCAACCCACATGAACACACGCGCACACATTTACATGTTTCATCTAGAGGCTGGAAAGATCACCCGTGCCAGCGCTGCCAGGCCTCTCCCGCAGGTCCAACCCTTTCTTCCTCCCTTTTCACGGATGAGGAAACTGAGGCCGGGTCCGGGCTTTCCAGAGCCCGGGATTTCCCAGGCCCTCCCGCCCCCTCTCCCGCGCCCCTGGCTCGCCACGCGAGGGCCGGCTGGGACTCCCAGGGGACCCCGCCGTCGGGGCAGCCCCCACGCGCGGCGCCGCCCAGCCTCCCCGCGCGGGACCCGGACCGCGGCCGCCGCTGCGCACTCGCGGGGGAGCCAGCGACCGAGGGCGGGGGCGGGGAGGGAGCGACCGCGGCGGGGAGGGGTGTTGGCGAGAGCTCGCGCGCTGTGTATGGTCTATCGGAGGCAGCTGACCTTTGAGGAGGAAATCGCTGCTCTCTGCTCCTTCCTGTAGTAACAGCCGCCGCCGCAGCCGCCAGGAGCCCGGGCCGGGAGCGAGAGCCGCGGGCCCAGAGCCGGCCCCGCCGCCGGACGGCTCGGTGCCGCCAGGTGGGTGGCCGCGCAGCGCGTCCCGGGCGCCGCGCGCGCGGAGAGGGGACACTTGACTCCCGTCCTGGCCCCGCGCCCGGGGACCCGAAGCCCGACGGCCGGGCGGGGTGCAGGGAAAAGTCCCCGCGCCCGGGAGGGAGTTCAGGCTCCGCTCGGACGGGGGGCGCGGATCGGGGGCAGGCGCCGCGGGTGGGCGCCGGCCTCGCGCGCCGTGGGCAGGGGGCGCTGTCGGGCTGGGCCGGGGCAGAGAGACGGGGGGCGCAGCTGCTCCGGCGCCACCGAGGAGAGACGGGGCGCGTCTGTCCCCCCGGCCTCTGTAACAGCCCTAGCCACGTGCCCGCGGGGACCCCGCCGTCCAGGGGACGCCTTCGGGACCGTCGCTTTGGGCTGGCATAGCCCCCCACGCCCCTTCCCAGAAATTGGTACCCAGGGTTCGAGGCCGGGTAGGGGGATTCTTGCCGAGGTCCGTGGGCCACCGCGGTCAAGTTTCTCTTTCAGTTTTTAGCTGTCCCCCCGCTGGGGAAGCCCCGGTGGGGCGAGGGGAGGGGAAGAGGAGGAGGGCACCTGACTTTCGCGGGCCCCTCCCCAAGCCTCCGCGGGTTCCTCGTTAGAGGGCAGGGCGGCCTTCCCCTCCTCACCATCTTTCTTCCCGCACAGGAAAGCCGGTCTGTGGGAGGGAGGGGCCTGGCCCGACGGACCGCGGTCCGGGCACGGGTGGGCATGGCCGGGCCAGGGGCAGGCCCAGCCCTCGCCTCTGCCCGGCGGGCGCGTCCTCAGCCATCTGCTCGCCCCAGGTGAACGGCCATGGCGGGCTGGATCCAGGCCCAGCAGCTGCAGGGGGATGCGCTGCGCCAGATGCAGGTGCTGTACGGGCAGCACTTTCCCATCGAGGTCCGCCACTACTTGGCTCAGTGGATCGAGAGCCAGCCCTGGTAGGTGCCCCGGCTGGGCTGGCTTCCCCGGCGGGACCCTGCCAGCCAGGCCTGTCAGCCTCAGGGCTCCTCCGTGTGGGTGGGTGTGATTCTGGTCCTGTGGGTTCCTTTCTGCGAGGAAGGGGCCCTGTTCCATGTTGGCGGGGAAAGGGGAACAGGGAAATGGGAGCCCGGGAAGGGAGAGGGGCTGTTTCTAGACTCTGCTGCCCATGGCGCTGCCAGGAACCAGGCTTGTGGGCACTGGAGCACTCGTAGTCAGGAGCCTGGGTTTCCCGCCTCCTGCCTGGCTTCCTTGCCACGGAGGCACCACAGAAGGCTTCTCTACCCTGCCCTGCCCCAAGGGATGCCATCGATCCAGAAAATCCCCAGGACCAAGCCCAGGCCACCCAGCTGCTGGAGGGCCTGGTGCAGGAGCTGCAGAAGAAGGCCGAGCACCAGGTGGGGGAAGATGGGTTCTTGCTGAAGATCAAGCTGGGGCACTACGCCACGCAGCTGCAGGTGGGTGTGAGCGCCGGGTCATCTGTGGGGAGGCCGTGGCCGCCTTCTAGTCCCAGCGTCGGAACCCCTGGGTTTTTCCTGGCCTGGACACTCACTGACTCACCGTGTGACCTTCACCTTATCGGCAACTTTTCTGTGCTTCAATTTCCCCCACCCCCTCTTTCTAAATCAGACCTGTTGGATCCCTTTAGCATATTACAAAGCCAGAGGTGGGGTGTGCTGGTCCCCAAGAGAAGGAGGATGGGTGAAACCACCTTCTGGACAGATCAAGCGGAAGGGATGGAGGTGGACTGAGTCAAGATTCCTTTAGAGGAGAAAGGAGGAGGGACAGATTCTAGAAATGAGGGCGTGAGGCAACCAGACATCCCTCTTGGGCAGTGGTTCTCAACCTTCCGGCCCTTTAAATACAGTTCCTCATGTTGTGACCCAACCAGAAAATTATGTTCGTTGCTACTTCATAACTGTAATGTTGCTACTGTTATGAATCGTCATGTAAATATCTGATATGCAGAATGGTCTTAGGCGACCCCTGTGAAAGGATCGTTTGACCCCCCAAAGGGGTCGCGGCCCACAGGTTGAGAACCGCTGCTATTGGGGCTCGTCTAAAGGTGGGAGAGCTCTTTAAGTGGGGCAGGAGAGGAGCAGAGTTGTCAGATAAAAGAGCCTTGAATTAGGCTTTAGATGTAAGATGTAGCTTCTTCACTCGGGGGGAGGGGTGGAGGATAGGGGAGAGAGGAAGTTTTAGTGGGAGCAGGAAAGGGGTGTGGGTAGTAATCATAG